TAATCTTTATTTGTATTTAATAAACAATGAAAAGGGATAAAAACCTCCACTAACAGTTTGGACATTAATCTGTTTATATTTTTTTCCTAAACAAAAGTTAAACTATCATAAAAATATCACTGTTATCTGAACAACTGCAATTGCTATTTAAGCTGTTTCAGGTTATAATCAATCAGCACTGATATTGTGCTGATTTTTTTAAACAAGCAATTTGAGAAAGAGTTTGTTTCACCCAAAGTCTGTCTTGTTTTATGAATTTCTCATTTGCAAGACATTGATCTTTTAACTTTAAATTAATATTACAAGTGTAGTCTGCTAAGAGTATTTCGAGAAATGCTACCAACGTAAAGCGTTGTCCAGACTATCAAATTTGACAAAAACATATGACATGCCTAAATATGGTCATGAGGACATCACACAATTACCATATATAGGCACATTATGACTATATATGGACATACAACAGTTTTTTGTCAAAGAAAATTTGATAGTGTGGCAGAGTCTAACATTATAGATTAATGGCAGAGAAGATAAACAAGATGGAGAGAAAGAACAACGCTCAGATATTGATGATGACACAGGGAGCAGAAGTTCAACAATTCTGGGAGCTCCTTGGTGGTTTTGATGTTGATTTCGTACCAACAGTAAGTTTTCATAACCATTACCAAATATAAGTCTCCCTCTAGTTAATCACCCCTCCAAATAACGACTACCTCCAAATAGAGACAAGTTTTGTGTGCTCCCAAATTAACAATGTAGCTTATCTTTATTATTATTCTAATTAAGAGGCCAAAGTCGCTATAGATTTTGGAAACGCTGGTCCTAAAAGCGGACTTTAATGGGAGGGAGGCCTCCCAATAATTTTATTTTTTATGTACAGAATGAATAAGGCAAGATTTTTAATAATAACGATCTTATCTTTGGAGATTTCAAGGCAGCAGAAGGCGTAATAAAAACAAAGAAAAACTTTTATTTTTTTCTGAAATATCCACTTTTTCGTGGCAGCGAGTGCGCTAATTGGCCAAAAATAAAATTTTATTTTTATTCCGAAATCATCAATATTTTGAAGTCAGTTGGTTCGTTAAACAAGATATAAATAAAGTTTCGCCCAAGAAAAGATAATAATAAAGAAAAAAATAGAATGATCAAATGTGCAGTATATTTTAAGGCAAGCTCTCAGAACACTATGAGTACTCCTTCATTATTTTCACTTTTTTAGAATTGTGTTGATGAAGAATTCACACCAGAGAAGCCAAAACTGTACCAAGTCGGACTTGGAATGGGGTACCTTGAACTTCCACAAGGTAATAGCAAATTTACAGATCAATTGATACTTTATGTAGTGATAACTAGTGGTGTGTCTAATATGGTAAGTTTGTAAAAGTTGAAGGCTGTCACGTATTCATTACTGAAAGCAAATTAATGAGGTGGCGTACTAAGTAACAAATTGTCGTTGTGGAGTGATATGAATTATGCACCTCTACTGCTTTTACTGTAGTCACAGACCACACCCATACACAATTCAGCACAATGACACTGCAAGATATGGGTTATTCTCCTACGTTTATATTTCCATATTTCCAAACCTCCCCTAGTATGTTTCAACAAGGTTCCCATTTATATTCCTGGCTGGAGAGAGACTAATGTGTGAAGACACAAACAAATTACACAGCGAGGGTTAAAACCCACTGTGCCAAACATATGTTGTATAATATATATTATTTTATTACAAAGGACTTGTATTTCTCATGTCTGATGCATTGAATTGCTTTCTTAATTGTTTAAGTTGAATTGCCAAGAAACAAGTTGAAACAGTCCTGTTTGGAAACCAAGAATGTATATATACTTGACTGTGGAGCTGATATATTTATCTGGTAAATCTTGTACACTTTTCATAATTTATTTGTTGCTGTTTGCTCATAATGGTTTTCCATATGTGATATGTTCCCACTAAACCCTGGCAATGTCAAAAGATAACAGTTTGGACAAAAAATCTGAAATTTTTAATGTCAGATCAAAAACCAAAGTTTGAAGCTGTTATAACACCCTAAAACAAGTAAAAACTTAAGACTTACCATAAAGAGCAGTTTATAAAAAGAGGGCAACCACATTTAAAAGCAACTCAACCAAAGGTTTTACTTTAACCTTTTTTTAATAAAAATCAGGGAGTGATCCTATAAGGCCATTATGTCTGCTTGTATTGGGTTTTCTTAAAACCAGACTCCAGAAAGTTTTTTTCTAAGATACAAAAGGGTTTGTCGAACAAAAAACTTAGCAACCTTTAATGTGATAAAGATTTTATAAATATTTAATACTGATTGAAAAGGGCATAACCACCCATTTTTCCACCCTTTTTCTCCCCAGTTTTTAAATATTCACAATCCTGTATCTCATTATTTGTTCCCAAGTCTTTCATCAATACTATTTTTGTGACTTGGAAACATCAGATGTACAACATATCAAACTTGTTTTTCGTCTGGTACCCAGCTTTGAAGCTTTACTCCTAAAATGCATTTAAATTGATAAAAGCAAGTATTTTGCCCTGAACACATTTACATTCAGAAGCATAATTAGAAATTTGTTATTGGTCAGTTTATAAATTAAACTTGTAGGATTGGTCGGAAGTCAAGTCGTCTTGTAAGGGCTGCTGCCCTGAAGCTGGCGCAGGAGTTGTGCAGCATGATTTCTAGGTCTGTCGTTGCCATGGTTGTCCGTGTCCTTGAAGGGTAAGTGTTTGTTATTCTCCTGATTCTGCTCTCAACAAAACCTGTAAGCTGTATATTCACCATACAGGAAACAATTTCTTTATCATTAAACTGCCAATGATTGAATTGATTGGCACCGGTTGAATATATAGTCGATTAATTCAACCGATGCCAATCAATTCAATCAAACTCTAGTCTTTCTATGTTGCCGTGAGCTTTAAATTTGGAATACAATATCTTTAAAAGCTATTTATCTATCTGTATGTACAGTATAACAATTAGTACCAGGGATGGTGCCAGCTTCCCCATGACTGGTGGTTGTTATGTCTCTCATTCACTCACTGAGACAAATGAACAACAAAGCCACATCTAAGTAATCCAAAC